TTTTGAAGGTTGGCATTACTAATTATTGACGTAAAATTTGACATTTGAAAACAAATCGTTTTTTATTGAAAATTAAGCAAAAAATTCCTTTTTTGGCACCTGATCTAAAAAGTCGGCGTCATTTACTTTCGTTTCTCACTTATTTAGCCGTAATAACACGAAATTTTTTCTAGGTCCAGTTCCAATTTACCCTGCTCACTGACACCCTTTACTCGCCCCTTCCGGCCGATTTGCGCCCCACAATCGACTACGACCAAGACGAGGACGCATCAGTACCAAAAACAATCGTCGCTGTTGAAGTTCAAGACACCAAAAATGGGGCTACTCATTACTGGTCATTGGATAAACTCCGGTGAGTATGGTATAATTAAAAAATTTGAATTAGTCACATTTTGCACACCAATCAGTCAAAGACTGGAATTGATGCGTCTGGTTTATAACGAGGAAGTTGTGGAATTGGCAAGTCCTGAAATTGGTATTGAAACAACGACAGCCCCCTTGTTGAGATGTCTCACGCAATGTCCACCATCACCGTCACGCTTCTCACTTACCAGTCTCATACCGTCGAGGTTGGTGCCACTGTTGTTGTGTTTATGTGCTTTTAATGTTGGCACCAACCTTGTGTGATATTTGCGATTGTTTCACCTCAATTTTTTGCAATTTTAGACAACGACTGGAACTCATGCGAGAAATGTATCACAACGAGGCCGAAATGTCACCGACTTCGCCCGATTATAACGTGGAATCCCTCACCGGGGGAGACCCCTTCTACGATCGTTTCCCCTGGTTTCGCATGGTCGGTCGTGGGTTTGTCTACTTGAGTAATCTCTTATATCCCGTGACATTGATTCATAAAGTTGCGATTGTGAGTGAAAAAGGGGATGTTAGAGGATATTTGAGAGTGGCCGTTCAAGCTGTCATGGATGAGGATAATTCAGATCAAGTTGGTGTGAGACAAAGTGCAAGAATTGCATTTGAAACACCCAAAGGTAGTTATTTTCACAATTAGGATCATAATAATCGTTTTATTTTAGCCGTTATTGAACATAAAAATATTCACAACATTGATGATCGTATTATCGAAGGTCAGAGCGCTATTGATCCGATTAAAATCGATGATCTTATAGAGTGTGATGCAGATTCGGGACGTGGAGACAGTTCAGTATCATCAGATTTGAAAGAAGATGAAATTCCTGATCATTTATCAATTGGGAAGGAATTCACTTTTAGGGTTACGGTCCTACAAGCTGTGGGAATCTCCACTGAATATGCCGATATTTTCTGCCAGTTTAAGTAATTAATTTTATTTTTTTTTAAGCAAATTAAGTCAAATATTTTCCTAGTTTTTTGCACCGACACGATGAGGCTTTTTCAACGGAACCGGTGAAAAATTCCGGTAAAGGGACCCCTCTCGGTTTTTACCACGTACAAAATGTATGTTTTATTCCTTATTTTGGCGTTAAAAAAATTCATAGTGTGTTTTAGATCACAGTTTCAACAACTAAATCCTTTATTGATTATATTAAAACTCAACCGATTGTGTTTGAAGTTTTCGGTCACTACCAACAACATCCTCTTCACAAAGACGCCAAATTGGAGGGTAATGTCCGACAGCCCCCTCGTCGTATGCTCCCCCCCTCCATACCGATCTCACAACCGGTCAGATCGAGCAAATTCGGGGCTTTGCCCTCCCCTTGTACCGCTCATATTCATGCCAAAGTGGACGTTTTAGTATGGTTTGAAATTTGTGAATTGGCACCAAGTGGCGAGTACGTTCCTGTTGTGGTTGAACATAGTGATGATTTGCCTTGTCGTGGATTATTTTTGTTGCATCAAGGAATCCAGAGACGGATTAGGATTACAATTGTTCATGATCAAGCCGCTGAGATTAAATGGAGAGATGTGAGAGAGTTGGTAGTGGGAAGGATTAGGAATAGTCCAGAGTCGGATGAGGATGAGGATAATGATAATTCCGTATTGTCATTGGGATTGTTTCCAGGGGAGTATTTGGAGGTGCCGGGGGATGATAGAGTGATGTTTAGGTTTGAGGCGGCGTGGGATAGCTCATTGCATAATTCACCATTGTTGAATAGGGTCACGGCCTGTGGGGAGCAAATCTTCATGACCATTTCTGCATATTTAGAGGTAATTAATGAAATAGACCATTTTTCGATTTAAGTAGAATTTCGGTCATTGCCCCTCCATACTGATTATTAATATCTTTGATCATAATCAAGCATTTTGATTTAAGTAGAAATTTCGGCCTAAATTCACCAAGTCATTGCCCCTCCATACTGATTATTAATATCTTTGATCATCATCATAATCAAGCATGTATTATTATTATATGCTAAGAAATAAGAAATACAGATTTGTCAACTAGAAATTACCACCTAGGATTTGAATTTTTAGGAAAATTACGTTTTTCATGTTGATTGTAACTAGAATTTTGAGAAGTAATTTTGAATGCCTAGGGTTGGTTACCCCTTGTTGTTGACAGTTGACGTTTTCTGTCAACCTGCTGTCAATTATCAATTGAGTTATCTACACAAGTTGACAGGTGACTTAACCTAAATTTTTGACACTAGTTACGATATGAAACTTTTGTTTGTCACCACAAACCAACCTAACCAAATCTATTAACGAATATCCCTAAATTCTAGGGAGTAATTTCTTGTTGATACGATAATACTTTTAGCAATTGTTCATTAATTTTTAGTTGGAAAATTGTGGCCGCCCCGCCATTATAACAAAAGACTTAAGTATGGTGATATATGGAAGAGATGCACGAACTGGTCCACGATCTCTCAAACATCTCTTTTCCGGAAATTATCGTAACGCCGAAGCTAATCGATTGTCGGGAGTCTACGAATTGCTATTGCGACGTGCTAGTGAAGCAGGTAGTCCAGGTAGATTCCCTAGCTTAGTTTTCCCCTCCCAAAATCCAGGAGTCGGACTCAAATTTTTAATTTTTTTGAACAGAAAATTGACTAAATTTTTTTTTTACAATGTTTTTTAGGCCCGGAAAGGAGTTACGTCCAAGGAAAAATTTCGTGTTTTTTTTTGTAGTTATAACGTTTCTCCGTAATAATAACAACAAAATCGAAATATCTAGGATATTGAAGTTCAAGTTACTATAAAAAGATGTTAATGACTGAAATAACTTCGTTTTGTTTATACAGGGTGTCTCAACGAGTTGAAAAAATCCATTAGTGACCTTTAAATGGTAAAATTAAAAAAAAAATGTATAGGACAAAGAGGTTAGGTTAGAATTGAAGAAATCTGGACTTTTATTAGCAATTTTATTTCAAGTCGACGTTTCGAGTATGAATTTACTCTTAATCATGATTGTAATGGCGCCGGTTACTAAGAGAATTATTGTGAAGGTACGTTTTTGTACCTCAAAAAAGTTATTTTTATTAAAATTTAAATTATGTGAAAAATTAAATTTTTCTGTTACTAAAAGGTTACTGGAATGAATTATTAGTTTATAAATGGATTTGCAAGAGACCGCCATTTAAGAGGTGTTTTTTTTAAACAAGTTCGAATTCTAGAAAATGGAAATTATTAAATGTATGGTGTATGCAACTATCAATTCACTCTTACATGGTGGTTTAATTAATATTAATTCAAATTAAAAAAAAAAAACTGAAAAACTAAAATTTCTATTATTCACCTGTGTCCTCTTAAATCTAGTTACATTGTCAAAGAATAAGAAAATGTAATACATACAATTTTTTTTCCCTATTTTTGTATATTATATATTATAATTTAGAGCTACAATTTAAGTGATCACAACTTTTTAGAAAAGAATCTAGACAATATAAAAAATATTTTAAAATTTAATGAATTTCCTAACTATTTTATTAAGGCTCAATTTAATAATTTTTTTCAAAGCAAACAATAATAGAAATTTTAGTAATATAAACACATATAGACTAAATAGTAATAACAAACCTTATTTTAAATTTCCATTTATTAAAGACATTACACATAAAATAAGAAAATGTATACCGGATTTTAAAATTGCCTTTTATAATACAAAAACCAAACTTAAAGATCGAAAAAGTTTCCAATCTCATATACTATAAAATCCCATGTTCTAACTGCGAAAAATGTTACATACTCTAAAATTTTGGAGTTTGTCTTTTTTTTTCGAAATTTGTAAACAACAGGAGAAAGATCTAAGCTTTCTCTTTCAAACGCCAAAAAAAACATATTTAAAATTAAAACAATAGCAGAGTTGCCGATTTTTAAATTGGAAGCTGCAAATCCAAAAATTTTTGAAAAACTCCAAATATTTCAAAAACGGATAAATTTAAGCTGATAAAAAAATCGCAGTAAAAAATATAGCATTCCATTTAAAATAAGAAACTATTTTCATTTAAGAGGACTTAATGTATATATTTTTTTAATTTTAGCATTTAAAAGTCACTAATCGACTTTTTCAATTTGTTGGTACACCCTATATGTTTGTTTTATTTTATTTCAAGTTATTAGTTTCCAAATCCAAAAAAAAAAAAAATCGAAGAGTCCACCCTTGAAAACCCACCGTTTCGTTCATCACCCTCCTTAGATTGTGTCGTCTCAGAATAATTAATTATCATTCTGAGTGGGTGGAAAAAAACCGTTGAATTGGTTTGTTTCTCAGGTGTGCAAAGACGGCAACGTCGCGTCTTAGACACCAGTTCCACTTACGTACGTGGCGAAGAGAATCTCCACGGTTGGCGTCCTCGTGGCGATTCGTTAATCTTCGACCACCAATGGGAGCTCGAGAAATTGACCCGACTTGAAGAAGTAGAACGTGTACGACACACTCTCCTCTTACGCGAACGTCTCGGTCTTGATCGTTCAACCAATCACAACAAATATCATTTAGATTATACGAAAAGTGAGAAAGAAGTATGCAACATGGTTGCTAAGAATAACAATCTTAATGCAACTGTTGATTATTACGAATATAACGATCGCGAGATGCAGCTTTTGATGAAATGTGTTAGATTGATTCAGGGGCGAGGGAGAGAAAATGTGTCGGGGATGAAGGAGAAGGAGGTTTCAAGTCCTGAAGAAATGACCGAAATGAGTACTAGTATGTTGTCGAGTATGGGTTCGATAGAGTTGTGTTCACCGGAAAGGGCAGCTCTTCCGGGTGAATGTGCTCCATTCCCACCCGTTCCTGTCTCTCCTCCGGGTCCCAGAGACCCGGAATTGGTACTATACGTACCCGATATGGAAGAGATTAGGATTTCACCTGTGGTGGCAAGAAAAGGATATTTGAATGTATTAGAGCACAAAACCCATGGTTGGAAGAAACGATGGGTGGCCGTTCGGCGACCATACGTTTTTATCTTTCGTGATGAGAAAGATCCCGTAGAAAGGGCCCTTATTAATCTAGCAACAGCCCAAGTGGAGTATTCCGAAGACCAATTAGCTATGGTTCGACTCCCAAATACCTTTAGTGTGGTAAGCAAACATCGTGGTTATCTACTTCAAACTCTACATGAGAAGGAAGTACATGATTGGTTGTATGCTATTAATCCACTATTGGCTGGTCAAATACGATCAAAGTCGGCTAGACGCAACCCAATTCGTCAAGAAAATTCCGAAACTAGTGTAGCATGCAAATGAGATTTAATCGTTATGGAATCCGTTTTGGTTTATTAGTTTTTTGGTTGTGATTCCATAAAAGGGGATTTGGTTCCAGTCCAGGTGCTATTGAATTACATTATAAATAGAGCAAAAAAAATTAATTCTGCTCTCTAAAAATGTGTTTTTCGTAGCATCTGGGCTGTTTTTCTAGTCGAGTGTAAGGATTGTGTGCAATAAGCGAATTTGAATGCTTATTTTCGTTTTGATTGATCTCAATGTTTCTAAGATGATGTTAAAATAGTATTAAAGCTTCTTCTAGTATAACAAATATTTAATACATGTAACATCATATTCAGCCGTTTTAATGTTAAGGCCTCGGTAAAATGAGTGTAAAGAAACCAAATTTTGACACCTTTTCGTTTGATTTTCGGGCACAGTGATGTACAGGGTGTTTATTGTTCAATCGATGGAAGAGCTCACTTTTTGATTATTTTTCGAACTTCCACTTTAACCCTGTTGTTATTTTTGTACTAGTAGATTTACACGAATTGTTTTTATTGTATATACCTACCAAAGTTAGCACAATAGATTTCACGCTGAAACCGCTATTGTTTCAAAACTGGCATTTGTAAGCCTAGACTTACATTCATGACCATGTCTTGACTGATTTTAGTTATTTGATTTGGTTGTTGTAGGTGCTTGTTAAACTCATCATAATTTTATTTTTATAGCTAGTTCCCCTATAGACACAGTGCTACGCTTATCTAAGCTATAAATGTAAAAAAGAAGTACTATTTAATGAAAATTTGTAGGTACAATGTAGGAAAATTTACATTGATTTCTGTTTTTTGTTTCACTTTATTTTCTGATGCTGCCTTGCCATTTATAATATTAATTGAACGATTATTATTATTGTATAATTGTGTAAGCATTATATGAAGTAAATAAAACCAAACAATTGCTCTTTTATTTTACTAATCACTCAGATAATTACATTTCAATCAACTGAAAATTGTTATTGCTTTTTAATTAGCAGACGCGTCTCTGATTTAAACTCCAGTTCATTAGCTTTTTAAACCAGTCAACCCAATCCCACAACTATAACCTGTTTATATAAGAACCGCATTTTTTCAGATTAAGTTTTTAATTAAATTAAATACTAGATCTGATTGCGTAAAAATAATAATATAGTAACAAGATTTGTCGTAGGGAATTCCAATTCTAATTTTGGTATGACTAATATTAATCATCTGGTTTTTACCACAAAAAAAATGAGTTTAGGGATTTTTGCGTCAGTTGGTATCACGAAAAGGCATTCAACTCGAACTGACATTTGTTATTCTGCGTAGGGTAGAAATGAATTGAGATTTTTTCATATTTGCCACCGAAAAATCGCGAAATTTAAAACCAACGCCATTATCACCAACATAGAAACATAAAATACACTAGCCTGTTAAGGCACCCAAACGAGTTGCGTTATTAAAGGCGCAAAATAAAGAAATACAATTTTTGCTTTACTTAGAAGTAGTAGATTTTTACCAAAACATTCTTTTGAATACCTAATAACACAGAGCTTTAAACACTACTAGTAGGACCCCTTCAGAACACTTTTTTTTTCAAGCATTTTGACTTTGTTTTCAAAGATATGTTCAAAAAAGCGGTCAATTCGTAGTGGCCATTATCCTGTATAAATTTGTCAAAATTATACATATAAAGATAAAGTAATAAATTATGTTGTAAAGTCTTTTAAACGAAAATAAAAGGTTGCATCAAAATATATATTTTCAAAAAAATATTTTATTTGCTATATTTTAGGTTCTTAACAGTTTTTTATGATGTTTACTATCAAATTAAAAATTTTGATTTTATTTACTAAAGTCGCGGTCAATTCATAGTGGCCACTTCCTTGTGTAAATATGTAAAAATTAAGTTATGTAAATCCGACTTTAAACATCCAATTGTTTTTTTAGGGACATATCTATCAAAAATGACAGTTCTGAAAAAGTCGGGTTAGAATACTTCACTGCGCCTGTCACAATTGTTGACATAATTTAGTTATTTCTGCTGCCAACATAAACACAACTTTCATACTAGAGGTGGCGGTCTAGGGGCTACCAACCTTGCATAAATTAAATGGCCACTATGAATTGACGGCGACTTTATATGAGCTTGTTCAGCACACGTATTGAAATGGGTAAAATAGAAAATAATTGTCACCAACATTGAAAATATAAAATACACTAGCGTGTTAAGGCACCCGAACGAGTTGCAAAATAGATGATTTAATTCGGAGTTTTACACCGTAGTAAAGTAGATTTTTACCAAAACATCCTTTTGAAATGTCAATAATGATGATTTCTTAATAACACAGAGTGTTAACTCTGAACTTAACTCCAAATATTGCAAATTTGTTAGTCAATCGCTTTTTCAAAAAGTGTGCCAAATTTATTTCAAAGAAGCAATGTTGCAATATTTTTGTCAAAGATAATTGAATGTAAGTTTGTGATGAGATGACGCTTTGTTTAATTTATGGAAATTCTTAATTTTTTTGTTATTTAATCACCAAGAACACATGAATACATCATTATGAATTTGGAAGGTCACATTACACAGAATTAGAGAAAATCAAGGAGATAAACAATTCGAGAAACATGTCCAGGATCTAAACACTGATTCATCTTTTTGCCACACACGGACTTAAAAGGACAGGTTGACAAACAAGAGAAAATAAAACTAATTGGATAGAGATCAAGAATCTAAAAATAGAAATTCGATGAGAGAAATTACATAAATCTTCACGTGACGTCAATCGCGATATTGAAGATCAACAAGAAAATTCAAGCTGCGACAATTGCGTGAGGTCAAGGTGAGAAAGAATTTACCTCCTCCACCAGACTCGAAAACCTTTCACAAGCCAATCATATTGCAACGTGAGGAGAATATTTACGAGTCGAGAAACTCGAGATACATATGCTTCAAAAACACGCTGTTTTCTTCAGTCAACCAAAAAACTTGGACGCGTCAACGATGGCTGGTGTTGTGTTGCTGGCTTTTGCCTTGTGTGTCGCAGGTTAGTGCTTTTTATTTTACAAAGTTTCCCCAGTTAAAAAAACTTCAACTGAACAAATTTACCAATTTATTCCAATTGTTGACTAAACAATAGGAACAAAAAGCAAGAAATTCAAATAAAAATAAAATTTAATAATTATTAGTAATTTTGTATACAGGGTGTGTAAGATAAGATACCAGAAACATAAAATGTTTCAAAAATTCTGTTTGACATTTGACATGTCAATTTAATGATAGTGATGATTTTGTATATGTTTTTTAATAATTATTTAGTAAAAGCACAAGAGTTTTGTTGTCTTCAATGTCAACAAGGATTTTTGTCACTCGATATAACAAGAATTGTACATTTTTTAGCTTTTTGAAGTTGTTTTTTTTTTAATTGTTATAATTTTTAGTTGTTTTCGGTCAGTCGGAGCTGCCAGTGACCCAGCAATGCTTGGGTTGCATCTGCGAGGCCATTTCTTCGTGTGACACCACTAGTAGTTGCGCTGGGGATGTGTGTGGTCCTTTTAGGATCACGTGGGCTTATTGGTCCGATGCTGGGAAACCCACAGTTGGTGGTGAATCACCCGAAGCATCCTCAGCCTACTCGAATTGTGCCCGTGACACCTACTGCTCGGCCTTGGCCGTACAAGGATACATGCACAAATTCCAACAGGTTGGTTTAGGACCGGTTTTAATTTGCTTTTTAATAACTAATAAAACTCGTTTGGATGCGTTAACAGTCTAGTGGATTTTATGTTGTAATGTTGGCGACACTGCCGTTGAAAACAAGTTGCTTTGGGAAACTCATTTTCAGATAACGCACAATGACAATTGAATTTTCCAACGCCTTCACGTGTTACCAACCGACGCAAAATTCCCTAAATTAAGCGCAATTATAACTCGTTTTATTTCAGGATTGCAATAATGATGGTAAAATCGACTGCGACGATTTTGCTCTAATTCACAAATTGGGAGGATATGGGTGTAAAGGAGCCGCTTTTCCGGGAGTGTATGGGGAGAGATACCTTCAGTGCAAAGCTATAGTAGGCGGAATTAAACCTTAAGACTAATTAAAGCTGTGAATTTATACTTTTTACTATTTTTATTGATAATAAAACTTGACCTCACATTGTGTGTTTTTGAAACCCCTCAAATGAATTTGGCAACATTGAGTGTCAAATTCAAACGTCAAATTTTTATAGGTAATTGTCATTCACTTGCGACGGGCGATCGCCGGCTTAGCCGTCATGTAACATCCAGTGTCACCAATAGATTTTTCGTTATTTAAAGTCCCTCTGTTATGATTTTTCAAAATTCTCAGGTTAAATTACTCAAAACGACAAAAAAATTTCTTTTTAATCACGAGAATATCCGTCCATTATGCTCACATTGTTACCAAATGAGTGGAAAAACAAGTTTGCAAAACAATTACAACAAACTGGTTTTTGTTCTTCTAAATCACAACAAATTGTCTCAGGGAACTCCACTAATTAAAAATTTGCATCAGTGTTGGATTAAATCGCCACAAACATGTCGTATTCCCCAGTCGTTTGTTTCTTGTTCTTTTATCATGTTTTTGGGCAAGGTAAGTGATACCAATTTTATTTTTTTTTGGTGATATCACTTTTAGAGCGTCTCCAAATTGTCAATTTGGATGCAGAGTGTTTCCGATGTTTGTGTTACGCAGCCACTAAATGTAATTTAACAGTTGGGTGCGATGAGGGGTATTGTGGGCCTTACAAAATCAGCAAGATTTACTGGAAGGACGCTGGGGAAGTTATTTTACCAGACGATGAAAGGAAGAGGGATGGAGGTGAGTCCTTGAACCGCGATTGTGAACTTAAAATCCTATTGTTATCGTGGAATACCAAAGCGGCGATTCAACATCAATATTCATGATTTATTTGTCCAATTTGAAATAATTTCTTACCATGCCCATCAGATCCGGCTGCGTGGATTATAACCGACGACCCATGACATCATAATTTCGTGGAAAAACACGATTTTGATACAATCTTGTCTTTTTTTTTTTAGCTTACGAAGACTGCGCCATTTCGTATCAATGCGCCCAAAGGATTGTTCTCAACTACATTGCGAAGTATGGAAGGGTGATAATGCAGTTTTCGCGTTTGGGAAATGTGTCTAAAATGGATTTTTTCCAGGATTGTAACAACGATGGTGTTACAAATTGCGATGATTTTAGTTTGATTAATTTCAACGGTGGTTTTCAGTGCAAAGCGGCATTGAGTCGAAACGAAGCTGGACAATCATGGTTGGAACGATATCGGCTTTGTAACCCGGAAACTCTATTGTAATAAATTTTGTAATTCTCAGTAATGAAACACAAGGTTGTGATAATAATCTTTAATGTGTAGTTTGACGGAATCAACAGACTGAGTAATTAACTAACTAAAGTTGATTTAGGATTGGTTTTTAAACGGCGAAGATTTAAATACACTATAGACAGTGTTAATAATAATTAACAATTGTTTTTCAATTAATTTTAATCTTTATTTTACCCCAAAGCTGTTGTGTATGCAACCAGTTATACACAAATTTGTTACGTTTGTGGTAACAAAAAATAAAATACAAAATTGTTCGTTGTTTAAAAAATTGAGCACAAATCGCTAATAAACGAAATAATTTATCAAAAAACGCTTGTAATATTTGTTAAAAATCAAAAGATTAAGTTTACTCTAAAATTGTTGTGTATGCAACCAGTTATACACACCTTTGTAAAGTTTGTGGTAACAAAAATGTAACAATTATTTGTTCTTGATCACACAAAACTGAGAAAAATCGCTAGTAAACGCGAAAAAATCGCTTGTGGTCTTTGTTACAAACCAAAACACACTTATACTTAAAGAAAATTTGAGAAATAGAATGTTTATCTAAAACAATTAATATACAGGGTGTTAAGAAAAGATTCTAAATTTTTAAGGAGGTAATACAGTGCGGACACGGAATTTTGGACATTAAATTTATGCCAGTTCAAAAAATGTCAATATAAGCCACGCTTTAGTGACGTTTGAAACTAAAATTTGAAAGTTTTAGTTTTTTTGGAAACAAAAATGCCAGTAATACGTGTTTTTATACAAGTTCAATAAACTATTTTGATTTGTTGTCATTTTTTTCTCTAGCTGTCAGGATAAAAATTACAAAAAACAAAAGTGAGGTTAGTTGTCTAAGGCTCGTTTTACATTTTTATGTCAGTAAAATGACAAATCATCGAAAATTCTGTGTCCGCTAGTGTAGTATGGACTATAACTTAATGCTTATTGTTGTACTCAAAAATCACATATTTTCACACTTCACTAAGCACTAGACGAAAAAATAACAAAATTAAATGCACTAACCTTTATGGCATCTTCTTCTGCTACCCTTTGTAGCAATTTGCCTCTGCTTCTTAAACGGACCTACTGAAAATAAAGAAATACACAATCAGTTTAATGTAAGAGATTATTTGAAAATATTAAATAAAATTTAAGTGGAATTTTTCACACAAATTAAAAGAAATTCTTGACTTACCCTTTAATCCGGATCCTTATACCACGATTGCTTCTTCCATTTTCCCCATTAACACTCAAAATTTTAAAAATCGCGCACTACTAAATGTCTTTTAGGCACTCGAAAATACCCAACACGCATGCAATGATAATACAGCCCCCATTTCTACACTATTTCGCACTGAACCACCAAATAAATAATAACAATTATTACAATGCAAGTGATTCATAGGGGAGCTTGGTTAAGACGGACTCGTTATTGTAATAATTCACCAAAAAAAAAAGGTCTTTGTTCGGGGCCCATTCGCCACGTCACAAAGTAATTCAAATATTACCCAATTTCACGTCACAATTTTTGCGCCTTTTACATTTATTATTGTTTACACAAGAAATTTTATGTCGTACTAATCCGTCAAGATGCTAGCATCTGATTGGTTACTTTTTCAGAATAAAAATAAATGAAAACAAGTAGAGTTTTTGAGTTTATAATTTTATTAAAAAATTCATGTTTCACAAAAATTTACAAAAACGCTTCCAAATCCGAATCCGACTTGATATCCGAAGAGTCCGAAATTTCGGAACTTTCCTTATAACAGGTAATTTTCATTTTTTGCGACACTTTCTCGTCGCTTTCTCCATCCGACATAATCACACTCTCATCCGAGTGATCCCGTAATGGCGACGGCAAAGATGGCGGTTTCGGGGGAATCCCGCGATTCCCAATCTGCGAATTACTTTCGATTTTCTTCTGTAAACAGCAAATTTTCGACAATTCTTCCAGTCTTTGCTTCACAATATCTAAATTTTTGCATTTCGGGGTTTCACTCTTGGTTTTCCTCACAGCTTTATTCATATCCTCGTGCAAGTGGTTGAGAAAACTGTGTATTTGCTCCTTGACGATATCGGCCACGTGACTCGCGTATTTGTCTTCTTGGATTTGGGGGATTTCCTCACAATCCCCGACTGAAACAGACTCATAACAAGGATTAAAATATAGGATTATGACTTTGTTACCGGGGATTTGGGATTCTAGCGGAGGCTCTGGGGGCTTTTTCGCCGTCTTGCGTTCAATGCTTTTCCACACTGGTTTCATTTCCTCCCTCTTTGGCGGCTTCTTTCCGATGAGGTAGGGGAACATCGGGAGGAAATTGGTGGTCATGGGGAGGAGGAAAGTGCCACTTTTATTACCAGAGTTCTTCTCGATTATAGCGTTAACAAATTTGTGACACGAGTTGATGTAATTGACCGCTTTGACGTAGTCGCGACGCATACCACCGTCATTTTGACCCAATCGCGTACAAGGGTAGAAAGTGAGATTTTCTTCCTTGATGAGGACCACGCGCTCCGTTTGAGAACTGCTGGATTTTCGCTGGGAGGGGACGCGAGCCAACGGTCTGGGGGAACTACGCACCGGTTTCGTCGGAATCGGAATTAAATTTCGCTGACTTCGCATTTTAGACGAATTTTGATTCACATACCGGACAAATGACACAATGACAAGAGAAAAATTGTGTCAAAAAACTAGACGTCTGGATTTTGTATTGGCGAAAAAATCTATTGGCAACACTGAATTATCTATTATATCAGAGTTTCACTTGACGACTTAGCCAACGATTACCCGTCACAAGTGAATGACACTTGCCTATCAAAAATTGACGTTTGAATTTGATAATCAATCTTGCCAAACTAAGATTTGAGGATAAAAATCAAACACAACAAACAAATACAAGTTTTTATTCAAAATATCTATTGGCAATACTGATCTATGTACTACACAGAGTTCCACTCGACGACTAAGCCAACGATTACTCGTCACAAGTGAATGACAATTGCCCATAAAAATTTGACGTTTGAATTTGACATTCAATGTTGCCAAACTAAGATTTTAAGTTTGAGGATAAAAATCAAAGACAACAAACAAATACAAGTTTTTATCCAAAATATTTATTGGCAACACTGAATTATTTATTACACAGAGTTTCACTTGACGACTAAGCCAACGATTACCCGTCACAAGTGAATGACAATTGTCCATAAAAATTTGACGTTTGAATTTGACAATCAATGTTGCCAAACTAAGATTTCAAGTTTGAGGATAAAAAATTAAAGACAACAAACAAATACAAGTTTTTATTCAAAATATCACATTGTAACTTTAAGAAAATGATTTGTACCTACTGTTAAGTTCAGCATCACCGATTAAACTAATATCTGGAACAAAAAATTTGGAAAAATTTCGGTAAATTTTTAACAAATTCTTACTATCATTGTCACACTCATGAGGTAACAGTTGGCGAGGATCCATAACTCTATTATCACGCAAACTCGTATTAATTTCTAGAAAAAAATTAATAAATTAATTAAAAAACAAAACATTCTTTTAACCTCCTTTAGTGACTTCGTTGTACCACTGTACCAAAAACTTCTTATCTTTGGCCATCCAGATGAGCATTTCCCTCATTGTTTTAACCTTCTCTTTTTGGGCCAAAGCTTGCTCTTTGACATAATAAACCCAAATCCTGGAAAACAAAAAATCCCTAAAAGTTTCCCCCAAAAACCAGTTTTTACCCTAAAGCAACCATCAACAGAGCGACCCCGCCCGGTTTAGTAACATTAAACAAAACCTTCCAAACCACAGCCTCCTCTTCCAAATACTCAATATTGTTAGTCACAATTTCGTAAGTGTAGTTGTAGCCACTAAACGGCCCACAACCCGACGGGGAAACACTAATAACACCCAATTAATTTTTTACTTAACACAAAATTTCTCCAACCTTTTTAGGGTGTACCCATGCGCGGCTATTACCAACAAAACACCAATAAACACCATCATCATAAACCACGTCTGCGTCTGCGCAGCCCGCCATATCTTAGTCGGCGGTTTACAGAATTTGTGAACGCACCCTTGTCTCACATACCAAATTATGAACATTTTTAGAGACACTATGACAGGCAAAATGGGCGAATAAAAGAACCCTACCCAGAATAAAGCTTGGTTGAAAATAATCTGAAGCGTATGTTTGGCAACATTGAATTCGGTTTTAGGGTCACGACCCAAGAGACTAAAAGTAGGATTAAATGACACTTTTGACATTTATGCGACTTACTAAAGGCTTGCAAAGTATACAGAATCGATAATTGTGGTTAAAACAACTGAAAAAATAAAATCGTAAATGACAAAACGGTAGATTTCGGCCCCTAAATGGTTTTCCCAGCAGTCCTGAAACAATCACCATTGAGCTAGAAAAAAATAGAGTGACAATTAACCATACAGTGTTGCCGGATTTAATCAACCAGAATGATAAAATAGAGCCGATAATGACAGAACCAAGTAAATAGGTCCGGATTAGAGTAATATAAAGTGCCGTTCGGGGATTTTCATAATCCTCATATCTGAAATTTTTAATTGTAATCAATTTTTCCAGGGAATTTCGTGTCTTTACGTTGCAACATAGTGGAAAATTGAAGGCAAGACCATGAGAATTACATTGACTACAATTGTTGTCACTAAAACATTGGCACCGTCTTCGTGTCCGTAATTCTCGAGTAGCACCCAGGTTAGCCAACCTACACCCGCAATAATCACCAAAATTAAAATATTTGCCACTATTTGTGTACTATAAGTCCAGAATTTGTAAATACAAGTTTTATCCTCATCATCTCGACGTTCCTCATTTAATAATTCTTTTAATTCGTTAAAAATCCCTAATGATTTCAAATGAGCGGCTTCTTTGGTTGCTATACCAAAATCCCAGCCGCAGAAAATCCGGTTTGCGAAAACATTTTGAAGACCACCTTTAGTCTCAATAAATGTGCGACGATACGATTGGGCAACACTGAAACAATTTTGGTTGGTAAAAGTGACACTTGACATTTGACAATCAATACCAACCTTACGGCTAAAATAAGGAAAGAAATCAAATAAAGCACAACATTTACTGTGAAATAGGCAATAGGCATGTCAAAAAATAAAAACGGAACTAATTGGATTGTATGGTTGGTGTAGTGTCCGTAATAAAGTACAGTGTCGTCAAAAAAACCCTTTACAAAAATAAAATCAAGTTACTAAAACAGGGGAAAAAACTTACATTCCCGATAAAAAAATCCGAAACTTGGAACTGCCCAACATTTGTGTTATTTCCAGTTGCGTCATAGATGATTTGAGGTACTACCAACATAGGAAACGACAATAAAACTACAAGACAATTCATTACGAATAGCCAACGTAAAAACTTGAAATATGAGGCATAACCGGACCCAAACCGGCCTTCTATGTCTTTCAAACTACTCTGCCACAATTCGAAATAATTGAAATTTTTCACGTTGGCAACAAACTAAAACAAACAGAGTAATGTTGGTACCAATGCTACATTTTAGCGCACTTTTTTAAATCTAATACTCGATTTGTATTTCAACCGTTTCCACGACCCGATTGGTTTTTTCTTCGATTTCAGACTCACGGATTTGGTTAGTTTCATTTTGACGCATCTTTTCATGGTCAAACATTGGGGCAAGTCCCTCAAAGCCTCCCTAAAACCCCGTTTAAGCACCACTTTATCTCCTCAAAAAACACGAAAAATACTTCCTCAACTGCTCCGAAACGGGGGTATCCTCCATCAAAGCCCCGTCTTCCTCCAATTTAGCGACGATTTTATTCGCGTGCCCCTCAAAATTGCTCTGGGGGCTAGTGTAACCGCCGACATTGAGTCGTCGGTGGGCGGAGAGAACTCGGGGGCCCCGGAAAGACATCTCGATTTGGTCCGACATGGGGGCTACGAAAGGCGGCACAAACTGGGATTGATAAAGCGCATTGTGTGCTTATCAGTCATTTGAAGGCGATTAAGTGATAAGTCTGTTTACAGGCACTTCCGTGATAAGGTTATTAAGCCGAATTATGAGGCAAAGAGATAAGAGGAAAAACGAGATGCTTACCGTGTGAGTAATTACACACTTAATTAGTTGTTATAATTAATAAATAAAAATAAATGATTTTTTTGAGGTTAGCTAACTGTCATTGGGGTACGTTCCAGTCCAGGTTCAGAATTAGTTGTCGCTTTCCCTATTTTCAATTTTTCTTGCATTTTGTTATGTTTTTTTACGTGAAAATAATCTATTAATAAAATAAATAAAACGCAAAAGTGATAAAATGTAAATTTGAAGTAAAATTTATTTCTAAAAATTGGAAGTGTTGATTATCATGTTAGTTCAATTGTCACACAACAGGTCCCATGGTGTAATGGTTAGCACTCTGGACTTTGAATCCAGCGATCCGAGTTCAAATCTCGGTGGGACCTTCGAAGCAAACTTTTTTTTTCAGTTGTGAAATATGACTAAATTAATTGACCAATTGTTTTGACTTAATTTTAAAAAAATTGTTAAAATTTGATCTCGGAATTAAACTCATTCTCCCATTATATGCGTGTGGATCAATACGAAATACTACTAGAGATGGGTAAAAAGTATCGATGTTTTTCAAACATCGAATATTGGTCAAATACATCGATTTAAAAATGTGTAAGTAGTTTTTTAAATATCGATGTTTTTACTTCGATACATCGAAATTGGTTCAGTTAATTATTTTAAATTATCTTTAATTTTGTTTTAATTTTAAAATTTCATTCATAAAATTTAAATTCGATATTTTTTAACAAAATTAACGATGATGAAGTGATGCAGGTGGTTAAGTTTTGTGTTTGTAGTTTATATTTGTTTATGTTTTATGCAAGAATTGTAAAAAATATGTTTGTATTTTTTTAATGTTCCAAAAATTTATTATTAAAAAAATTGGTAAAGGATTTTTTTTCAATAAAAAACATCGATTAAAAAAACGATTTTTACTTAAAAAAGTATCGATGTTTTGGGGCGATATATATGACATCGATAATTTCTTATTCGATCATCAATGTCACAGAACATCGAAATATATTTTTCGATGTTCCCATCTCTAACCCGTACTTATTGTTATCTCTCTTTTCAACATTTGTAATGGGAAAAACCATTTTGAAGCTAATATTCATACCTTAGTCCCTCTATATCGTCTTAACCATCGTATTATAAGCCCTAAAAAACCTAATAACAGGGAGAAACTTCAATTTTTGACATAAGTCAGAAGCTGTCAAATGTCAAAAACAGACGGTCATGTCGTGTTCTTGATTCACACTACCCCCACTAACAATTATGATACGTTACCATGACAACGTGTAATAACCATGGTAACGATGTGGCGCGAAATTTGAATCATAAACCAAATTCATGAACATAAAAGGCAATAAAAGGTGTAAATAGCGTGATTACATTCAATTTATGGTTTTTCCACTCTTCATTAGAAACACTACAAATAAAAAAATCCAATACTATTCATATTTGAGTACTCAATGATTTCTTATCACGCCTTATCATACCCTTTAACCTCTCGGGTATAAATTCGTCGTTTATATTCCAAAATCAATATTCTCGAAGTGATTCACAATGACAAACCTCTTCCTCGTGTTATTTTGCATAAATCTAGTGTTTGCAAGCGAAAAAAGTGTGCAAAATTTCAAAAATGGCAACAAAGTGTTTTCGGGTGATGTATACAAGGTGAGGTCCAAAAAAACTTGTCACATAAAAAAAATGATTATTTTTAAAGGAAATAGCAAAAAATGAAAAAGACGACTTTGTAGTGTCCCCATTTTCGGCGCAAACCATCCTCGCCTTGGCCCAAAATGGGGCAAAGGGCGAAACTGGTACCGAAATCCGTTCGGCCTTGCGCCTCCCAAACTCCCGCCGCCAAATAAACTCAGTTTTTAAGTCACTTTTATCCAAATTGGGGACCCACAAAGACACTTTCACCCTCCAAACGGCGAATAAAATCTACATCAAGGACAAATACCCCATAAAACCCGGTTTTAACCAAACCGCAACCGAAATTTACCACTCGGAGACCGAAAACATCGATTTCGCCCAAAACGCAATCGCTGCAGAGAAGATCAACACATGGGTGTCCCAGCACACCAACAACACCATCAAGGGCCTCATCGAGCCCCAAAAACTCAACCAAGACACCGTCGCGCTCCTAATCAACGCCATTTACTTCTCGGGGGCGTGGAAGAAGCCCTTCAAGGGGCGCCTCACCAAGAAGCGCCCTTTCAAGGCCCCCAGCGGCGAGCTGGAGGTGGAGATGATGGCCAACAGCGACTTCTTCGGGTACCATGAGAGCAAGGAGCTGGACGCCACGTTCCTGCAAATGCCGTTTCGGGGGGACGCCCATATGGTGGTGGTGCTCCCGAAGGAAGACGCCGGGATTGCCCATTTGGAGTCCCAACTCGAGCTGGTCTACAAGAGCCCCATTTTCACGTGGGAGTACGTCGCTGTGACCATCCCCAAGTTTAAGATTGAGACAAGTGTGGACTTTAAGAGGGTTTTGAGGAGTTTGGGGGTGAAAAAAGCCTTCAGGAAGGCCGATTTTAGTGACTTGGCGGGGGAGAAGGGGGAGATAAGGGTCACGGATGTCGTACAAAAGGCGTTTATTGGGGTTGATGAGGGGGGGGTTGTGGCCAGTGCTGCCACTGCAGTCATTTTTCAACCCAAAAGTCTCAGGCAAAATCCTGGTACCAAAAAATATTTCACAGCCGACCATCCCTTCTTATTTTACATTAAAATCAACGATGTTGTTATTTTTACAGGAAGAGTTCTTTCGCCCGAATTTTAATTCGAATTTTTTAGTATTAATATTTAAATAAAATTACTTTTATTGAGGTTTTAACACTTTTATTGACACACTAGACCACTTTTGCGTCGCATTTTTAATAAAAAGCGTCACAGAGACTTATTATTATTTGATAACAAGTGATAACAATAACAAATATGGTGATTCAGTGATTTGTGTGCGGAAAACGTAAACAAATAGACACTTGAGTGCGTTTTATTACTAGAAATCGATAAAATATTAGCAATAATTCAGTGTTGCCAATAGATTTTTTTGTCACAAACATTTATAGTCACCCGGTATTTTAAACAAAACATCCAAAATGTTTGAAAATAATTTGAAATGGCAAAAAATAGCAGACAATTTCACATTCCTATATTATGTAGGCATGTAAAATCGTTAAAAATTACTGAAAAATCATGAATCAGCTTTGTGCACATTCGGTACTGCGAACATTCGGAGGTTAGTAAACGGGACTCGTAAAAGTTTGGTTATATTGTGAAAATGTTTAATCAGTCTTTTTTACACAATATTTGAGCAACAATAGATGAAATATGTGTAAAATCGAAGAAAAAATTGCTTGAATACTTAACTTACGCAAAAATATAGTTTTTTGTTCTTGGAAAAAAAGCAGTGGCGTAACGTGGACAAGTGTGAATCAATTTTTTTGGTGAAAAAAATCGATAAAAAAGCAAAATCGCAAGCTTGTTAGATTCAGTGAATTAAGAAGTGTTATTCTACGGTCCAATTTGCGTAATTATGCTTTAAATAATATTTTTTTACCAGAAAAAAACTGCGGTTATGTTCTTGTTTTGGACAAAATTTTAGTTTTTTTTTTAATAGAAGGTAATTAACGTGGATGTGCTTTACACAAATATTTAATCAAATAGTTCAATCAGGCGAATTGTTAGTGAATTTTGCATATTTGTTAAGAATAACCAGTGGCGTAACATGGAGAAATTTGATGTGACATTTTGACACATGGCATTTATTTATTGTAATTTATTAACGCCACTTGTGCCTGTTTACACTTACATTTTGCAACCTTCAGTACTACCAACTGTCACAAACTCACCAATCGTAGAAATGAAACAAGAAGTAAAAGATATGAATTTGGACGCTTTTAAGACCGAAATCAAGCAAGAGCCTCTAGACCACTGGTCCACCGTCTTAGTGAAAGAAGAACCAATTGAAGAAAAAGTAACGAAAGAAGAACCCGAAAAATCTGGGAAAGTCTTCACTTGCCCCCATTGCCCATACAGCACGGGATGGAAAAGCAACCTTGGAAAACACATAGTGAGCCGTCACACCTCCTCTGACCAAATCAATTGGTTGCAGTGCCCTCAATGCCCATACCGAGGCAAAACCAGAGACTACCTCAAATGTCACCTCATACACGTCCACAGCATAGCTGTTAAATGGTACCCCTGCCCTCAATGCCCCTTCAAGGCCAAAATGAAACGCCTCCTTGACCGTCACCTCATTCTCACGCACACCGACTCGGAGGAAATCGAATGGTTCCAATGCGAGCATTGCCCATTCAAAGCCAAATTCAGCTATAGTTTGAAACAACATATATTTAGTAGACATACCGATGACAGCGCCATCAAGTGGTTCCAATGCGACTTATGTGAGTTTAAAGCTAAACGCAAACGCAACTTGCAGTTGCACCAACTTCACAAACATACAAATGAGCGTGAAATCAAGTGGTTTTATTGCGACTCCTGCGATTGCAAATTTAAGAGAAAACAGTCGTTGAGGTCACATGTGGCAACAGTGCACAATAAGAGGAAATTCGAAACTAGGGAAATCCCGGTTTTTATTGACAATCAGTTATGTTGGCGACGAATCGTCGTTGAGAAGGAGGGGCCAGAGGCGGAGTTTAAATGCAACCAATGCGCGTTTGCCACATGTGACAAAATCATATTCAAACAACATGTTTTGAAGACACATACAGTGACGGAAATCAAGAAAGAAGATGATTGTATTGTGAAGAAAACTTACAAGACGAAGGATGTTGTCGTAATGGTTGGGGATGTTCCTTGTGTCAAAAAAGTCATAGATGGTCCGTTGTAGAATTAATTTTTGTGTTTGTAAATAAAGAAGTGAAGGGAGACCCCAAATTTGTTGTTTTATTTTTACAAAAAAATTTAAATGTCAAATTAGCCCCCACCAGAGGGCGCTAAAATACATTAAAAACTTTAACAAAAGGATTATTTGACTTTTTTCTAATAAAAATTAATTTTTGTAGTGTGTTTTTTTTAATCAAAGTTTAACAATTTATCGATTATGCCCTTTGGTCCCTAAAAAAGTGTGAACGTACCCCAAACACGAATGATTTTTTGATTCATTTTTAGTTTCTAATCATACAATTCTTATTAACTTTCCTCGTTTTTTAATAATGTTATTTTTTCTTGTGACTGCTTCATAAAAAAGTAATTTCTTGTTTCTAACCTAAATTGTTTTTGAACGTACCCCAAACACATGTTGCTTTCACCTTTTGTTTGAGACGATTAATTAGTTCCGTCTACTCTGCATGTTTGTCTCTTTTGTTACTTTTTCTTGTATAATCATCTTTTTTATTCATTTTTAACATAAAAATCCCCACAAGTAACCAAATGAGGTATGTACACTTACTCTGTGTTTATGTAAACAAATTAATTTTTACTTAACCTTTAAGAAAATTCTTGCCTACCTTGCAATTTCAAAGTCACGTCGACACTTAATTGGCACAATTTTCAATAAAAAAAATGACAATGTCAAAGCCACCTATTTCTTTTAGTTACAGACAAAAATGACACACCTCCAAAACAACCACGACTACAGTTTCGCCCAAATTTATTTACAAACATGCAGAGAAGTCCAATTTTTAGCCAACACAAACACAATATACAACGAAACGGCGGTACCATCAGTGGTACTACCAAAGGAGGAACCACCCATCATAGTTTTGGACGACGACGACACTTGGAACCCTCCACTGGTACCCGAACCCAACGATCTGCAGGTCACAGGAGTTGGCGTCCTGAAGGAATGGATCGATTTTAGTGAACTATCAGTGAACCCTCAAACTGCCGTTGCTAGGAAACAACAAGTGAACCAACCTCAAAAGCACCATGAAACTGCCGTCGCTAGGCAACAACATGTCAACCACATGAACCAAGAATCTGAACATTTTAAACTAAACAAAAATAAAGTTGGCGTTGCTATTGCTGCCAACCATGAGGGTGAAACAAACCCTAAAAATGGCGAAATTGCTGTGAACCCCCACGAAACTGCTAACGTGGAGTCTCAGGAAGATGAAATGGGGGAGAATTGGGCCGACGTGGACGTGGAGGAGGCCCCCGAGTCGCCCGCCCCTCAAACCTCAAAATTCGCTTGTTCGCAATGCTCGTACCAGACTGATTGGAAGAGTAATTTGAACAAACACGTGATCAGTCGTCACCAATCAGAGGATGAGATCAAATGGCATAAGTGTGCCCACTGTCCCTACAAGGGTAAAACAAGTGAATACCTCAAAATCCATCTACGCCAACTGCATGAACCCTTCGTGCAGTGGTTCTACTGTAGTAAATGTCCCTTGAAGTTTAAATTAAATAATACACTCAAGGCCCATATTCTCGCCACACATACAGCCCCCGAAGACATCAAGTGGTTCCAGTGTGATAAATGCGACTTCAAATTCAAGTTTAAGAACCAATTGGTGAAACACGAAACTAATAAACATTTGACTGCTGGTGAAATAAATTGGTTCAAGTGCAATAATTGTGATTATAAGTCAAAGTGGAAAAAGGTATTAAAAATGCATATTATGAGTAAACATACGGGGTATGAGGAGAGTGAGGAGACTAAATGGCACGTTTGCAATAAGTGTGGGCGTTTATTGAAAGGTAAACAAGCCTTGAATACTCATCTAAGTTCGTATCATTGCGAAACGAAAAGAAAAAAATCCACAAATGAAGAAAATGACAGAGAATGGAAGTGTGACACGTGCGGGTTTAAAACTTTCAGTAGAAAAGCCTTCGAAGAGCATTTCAAGACAGACGGGAGGTCGTATTTTTGTGCATGAAGTGTATTTTTAATAAATTTTATAATTCATTTACCGCTTTTTTTTAACCATTTGTTGACTTTGGGCTCTTTGGGTTGGTCACAAATCCGTAAAAATTGTCAAGTTTTAATTTAGATTTAACGAAAAACGCCACAATTAATCCGCAATGTGAATAACGGCACCTCGAAATACGTTAACAGGGCGCCTTTTTATTATTGAAGTCATTATTATCAAAATTTGATCAAGTAGTAACATTCGTTGTGTTACGTTGGTGTTTGATTTCTCACCAAGTCAAACAAATTTGAATTGTAGATTCTAGTCTAGATAATTAAAGCTTGTAGACACCAAAATAATCGAATTTATTTGTAAAGAGAAACAAAGCAAAAACTTTTTATATAAAAAAACTTAGATTACCGCTTCTTTTTGAACCATTGGTTGACTTTGGGCTCGTTGGGTTGGTCACAAATCCGTAAAAATTGTCAAGTTTTAATTCAGATTTAACGAAAAACGCCACAATTAATCCGCAATGTGAATAACGGCACCTCGAAATACGTTAACACGGCGCCTTTTTATTATTTAAGTCATTATTATCAAAATTTGATCAAGTAGTAACATTCATTGCGTTACGTTGGTGTTTGATTTCTCACCAAGTCAAACAAATTTGAATTGTAACGGTTAGTTTTTTTCTATGACTGTAGTGAAAACGTAAAATGTCAGAAACTGAAGAAGAATATGCGCTTAAATTTAACCTCAAAGGGCACAAAAAGCCCATTACTGGTATTTCCTTCCACCCCAATGCCAAACAATTTGCCAGCAGTAGCGAAGACTCCACTCTCATGGTGTGGAATGTTGCCCAAAACACCCGAAGTTATAGTTTCAAGGGGCACAGCGACTCGGTGACAGGTGTGGAATACTCCCCCAGCGGTGAACTCCTAGCCTCTTGCTCCCAAGACCAAACACTCCGCATTTGGGTGACGAAACAGTCTCAAATGGGGACTTGTATGGAAATCAGAGCTCACTTATCACCAGTCCGGTGTCTGGCTTTCGCCCCCCAAGGCACTCAAGTACGCTTCTAACCCATTCTCACCAAACCAAATAACCCCAAAAATTCCAGATAATCACCGGATCAAATGACAAATCAATGAAATTATGGTCAGTGGCGCGGAAAAACTTCTTGAAGTCTTTCGTGGGGCACACCAGTTGGGTCCGCAGTGTGCATTTCGCACAAGACGGTCAAAAAATCGTCTCATGTGCTGACGACCAAACTATCCGCGTTTGGGACCCCATTTCAGGGCAAAACACCCACACATTCCGCACCAAAGGTTTTTACCCCAATAAAATCACAATTTTTGCAGTGTTTTTTTTTCTAGCGGGGCCCTGCAGTGTGGCGCTCCACCCCAACGGAAATAACATCGCTGTGGCTATGAATTCAGGCTCAGTGCGAGTTTATGATATACGAAATGAAAAACTCAATCAACACTATGTTTTGCATGATAGCACGACTTGTGTATGTTGGCACCCCTGTGCGAATTTTCTCCTCACTTCGGGGAAAGACGGCAAAGTTCATTTGGTTGATGTCATGGAAGGGCGACCGTTGTACACGTTCGGGGGGCACGAGGGGGCTGTAATGACAGTGAGATTCAACAAAGAGGGTGATTATTTCGCGTCAGGGGGCGCGGACAAGCGCATCTTGGTGTGGAAAGTCAATCTGAGCAACTAGTGATAAGTCTTAAGTATTTATTTTTACCCACTTTAATACATTTTTAAAGAATTTACTCGTTTTATTTCACTGACTTAACAAATTAACAGGTTTTGTTGGTTGCATAAACTCAATTTATTTACTAAAAGATTGAGTTTTTTAATTTTTTATCTAGATAAAATACGAACTGGTGAGAATAAATGATTAACTAATAAATTTTTTGCAAAATTAGTTAAGTATAACAGAAACAAATTGAGGTGTGTTGTTGGTTGCTTGGCCTGCCACATAACCTTAAATTTTAAATACATTAAAAACGGCTATTTTAATTATGTATATGAATGAAATACAAATTAATATCAATAAATAATTAATTATTACACAGTTTTTTATACAATTAATTAAGTATAAAATAAATGTATAGTGTATTGGTGGTTGCCTAGTATGCTGCAATTAAATTCATTTAACGGAAAATAAGTTTTTAAATTATTTACTTGAATAAAACACAAACTAATGCCAATAATTGACTAATTGTGCAATCCACAAAATTAATAATGTATAAAACGTCTGTTTTTAAGTTTAAAATTGTTTCACCAGTGGCGTAACATGTGCAAGGGCCAAGCAGCGCATTAATCAAGTCGCTCGAAACTTTCACTCAAATGTCATTGCAAAATGTCGAAAACTTTCTAAATTCCGCATTCCGGCCACTGTTTTGAAAATGCTAGTGTTGATAATCCCCCTCGAAGTACTAATTTTAGTGACTTGGTTCAACATCCTAATCATATCGTGTTCCTTGTGTTTAATTTAAATTTCCCGGTAATTTTCGTCAAAATTTTCCGTGATGGCAGGTCGCATTCCGTCGAAAACCGGTTCAAAACCGTCGAATTTGCGCGCCCCCCGAAGCCAAACATCGGCAAAGGGGCCCCCCGAGCCGGCCAAAGAGTCAAAATTCGAACTTCCCGCGCTGAGCATCCCGTTCAAGCCGAAGACCACGATCGAGCTCGAGTTGAAAAAAATGAAACAGCGGATGATGCGGAGACATGCGCCCCCAGGGGAGGACATGAAGGGCATAAGGACCATTCTTCAAACCCTGAAGAAAAAGGGCGTAACAGTTCAGGAGTTTATAGGCCTGGTGGCGCCCTACACAGCCGATGCGGGCGCCACCTTACGGAGTGTCATGAACGACGATTTGAACTCGTTTCGAAAATTGGCGCGAAAAGTCTACGAGACTATAACACAAGACAATAGCGACGTTCTTCTCAACCAACAATTGCAACTAGCTGAGTATTACAGAGAGAAGAAGGCGTTGCTTCATGATAAGATGATGCGCCATATTGAAGAAATATACATGATGGCGCCCAATTTCGATTTTGACAAATACGCCGCCGAGAAGGAGAAATATCTCAAAGAACTTTTCCCAATCCCTGATGAGGTTTTAAATAACGTTTTGAAATTTTTTTCTAGTATTTTTTTTTTTAGTTACAAGTCGAGCCTGAAGAAATCGAGATGATGAAACGTCAAGCCGCCTATCACCGCCTCCAATGGCTCCGTTCGGAGGGGGAGCGTCTCAACGAGGAGAACAATCGGTTGAAAACCCGCCTCCAACAACTGAAACAAATGCACAAGGAGGAGCAACGCAAGATGATGGAGGCGGAGCTAGTGGCTGAGGCTAAAAAGGAAGCCCTTGAAGCCGAGCAAGCGGCTAAAGTCGAAACTTTGGAACAATTAAACGAATCACTTGAAAAATCAATCATTTCGAAAGAGTCTAGCATGAGGGAGAAGACAGATGAGGCGGCTTTGAGGGCCCCCCACACCTCCAAACTGCAGAAGAAGAAGTCGAAAGGGGCGGTGAGGAAAAAACGACCGGCGTGGAATGAGGTAGCGGCGTATGAGATGGAGGTGGAGGCTGCGGAGGCGGCGCAAGTGAGTGAAGCAGCGGCTGAATTGGAGAGGGAGAGATCGCCGTTTCATTATTCGCCGCCACGATCGCCGCGACAGGATATGAGCGAGACACGCCCACAGGAGGAGGGGCAGTTTGGTAGGAGGGGCGCGTATAGGCCCAAGGATATGTGGGGCGGGTTTTATTAAGGCGGGGCATTGTTTTTATTAAAATTATTGTTTTAAACACAAAAAACTGAAATTTTAGAGGATTTTTAATAAAGCACAATAAATTGTGACAACTTTTTTGATTTTTGTGATCACAAATTACGTTTTCTGTGATCTCGAAAAATTTTTAATTAAATTTTCTGTGATTAACATTTTTTGTAGGCGGGGCATGTTGGTTGATCGTTTTGATTGAAATTATTGTTTTAAACATAAAAAAAATTGAAATTTTAGTGGATTTTTAATATTTTGTGACGACGTGCTACTTTTTCATCGATTTTTTGAAATTTTTAGAGGGTCTTAATGTATTTGCGACCTCAAGCAATTTTGTGCAGATTTTTTTGTTTATTTGCCTTAATTTGGCGCCCTTTTTTAAACCTGAACTACCCTCTGTCAATTAATATCCAATGATCTACTGTACTGTAGTTACAAATGAGTAATTTAGTAAACCACCGAGTTGTGTATATGATTTTTTCAAGTAATTGTTAGCTCATCACGTCGTATTAATTTAGTTAGTTCCGTTTAATGTGTTTTTAATTGAAATAATGCCAAAAGTCAAACAATTGGTACTACTGGTAGGTGAAATGTCCCAAAACATAACCTTATTTTGTATCAAATAAATTCGAATAATGTACCTTAAAGTGTTGTTACTCTCGGTATTTCTCGCTGTGATTGCGATAATTTATCGCTTAAAATCCGTCCAAAACCCCAACCTCATTACCGCCGCCGACTTGCGCCTCTTCAACGGTAAAGACAGCCCCAATTTGTACTTATCAATCCTGGGCAAAGTCTTCGACGTGTCAAAAGGCTCCGCACATTACGGCCCCGGCGCCCCTTACAATTTTTTCACGGCGAAAGACACCTCCCGTAGTTTTATCACCGGAGAATTCACTCAAGTCGACGACCGAGTGGCCGATTTGGGGCCCGCTGATTTGCGCTCCCTGAATCAGTGGCTCCGCTTTTACCACAAAGAATACAAACTTGTGGGGAAACTAATCGGGCGGTATTACGACGAAACGGGGAAGTTGACCCAATACGGGAGGGAAGTAAAGCGACTTTTGCGGCAAGCAGAACGCGAGAAGGAGTCTCACGAGGAGGAAAAGCTCAACTTTCCGCCTTGTAACGTGGAATGGAACGCCGAAACGGGGAGTCGTGTCTGGTGCACGGAGAGGAGTGGCGGAGTCTCGAGACACTGGGTGGGGTACCCGAGACAGCTCTACGAACCCGGATCGCAAACTTACAGGTGTGCTTGTGTCCAATTTGGGGGAATTTCAGCCAATTTCAAACAATACGACGGGTGTGATCCTGACTCAGTTAGTTGTTTTGTTAAATCGTAAATAAAACCAATTTTTTTTTGTTAATTTTAATCAACTTCGTTAATTTCAGAGAGCTTTTCGAGTAAATATTTTAGGGTGATTTTGTGGTTGTTTTCTTTTCTTTCAATAGCTGACATGATTTTCGCTTTGAATTTTCTCTTTTTTATTTTATTTATTTGTGGTGAAGTATAGAGTTTTCTGGTACACTCAGTTTCTGTGTCTTCATAAACTGTTTCTAGAGTGGAATTCAGTCTTTTGGTTCTTTTGTCTAAATAGTAATTTTCTTTTAAAGTCATTCCTTTCTTCATGGGTTTTGATGAAACTCTTCGTTTTTCCAAATAATTGATGGAAAATTTGGTTTTTAGACGCGCAGAACGACGCAATTCACTTGAAGTGTCTTCTGTGGGGGATTTGGGGCTATTTGAAGTGTCTTTTTCGCTCTCGTTTATCCTCAATGAGGCCATTGTGTCCTCCAAGTCCATTTTCAGTATTCTAAAACTCAGTTCCAAGTATTTTATAAGAAAAAAAGAAATTATACCAAAATCAGTTGTCCCTTGTGTGTGTTTTCAAAAAATAAACAACTGTAAACAAATTCAAATATTAAATTAAAAAACAATAATACAAGCATAAACGTCATTTAAGTTTCAGTTGAGTCGATAATGTAGGAATTTGTAATGCTCCAAATCAATTTTCGGTGCCCTAAAACTTAATTCCAGGAATTTTTTAAGAGAAAAATGTAATTCTTATAAAACAACCTGGCTTTTGTGTAAGTTTTCAAAAAAATAAATAATTGAACAAGCCGATAATGTAGGAAGCTGTAACAAAACCAAAATTTTGTTTTGGTACATTTTATCGAACAGTTGTTGGACTTTTAACATAATTTAAGGCGGGTAAATTCTTGGATTATTTTTTAATAATTTTCACAGTAGATCAAACAACTTTACAGATGGTATATCAAGTTTCAAAAAAAAAGCGCCAACTTGCTTCACCCCGTCGATTTTTCCCCCTTTTGACCCTTTATTTAAAACGGCATGTGCTTCAAATGTCACAATTCCTACATTTTTTTACATAATTACGTTTTTGTGTTTGTTTTCCCAAAAAATAAATAATTGAACACACCGATAATGTAGGAAGCTGTAACCTAAACACAACCGATTGAACTAAAATTACTTCAATTTTAATACAAAGCCGGATAAATTTCTAAATTATTTTTTTTTTGATTTTCACAGTACTTCAAACAACTTTAGATGGTACCAAAACGGCATGTGCTTCAGATTTCGCAATTACTACACTTTTTTCTTGTTTATGTTTTTGTTTGTTTTCCAAAAGCCGATAATGCAGGAAGCTGTAGCAAAAACAAAACTTTGTTTTAGTACATTTAACCGACCAGTTGTGGGACTTAGCATAATTTAAAATGAAATAAAAACAATAGAACTTGAAATAAAACTTGAATTCGTTTAATTATTACACAAAGCCCGTTGAATTACTGAAATATTTATTCACAATTTTCACAGTAGATCAAACAACTTGACAGATGGTAGCTCAAGTTTAAAAACAAGCGCGAAGTTGCTTCACAATTTCGCATTTCCCCCCTTTTGTACCAATTTATTCAAAAGGACATGTGCTTCCTCGTAGAAGGGGCTTGCTTCGCTCCTCACGCGATTAATCCACGCACTTAAAACCGGTCTTCCTTCAGTCGGATCAAATCCCGCAATTCCTACAATTTTTTACTTTTTTTTGTAATTTTTCTTTAATTATTTCTTACTTGGTTGTTCGATTTCGCAAGCGGCGAAAATATCAGCCACCGAAATTCGGTCTCCACACAAATAAGGGGTGTCAGCCAACCAAATATTTTGAATTTGGTCCAAACACGTATTCATGTTGTCTTCGTATTTTTGCATGGTTTCGGGAGTTGTTTTTCGTCCAGTGAGCCTGGGAAAGAGCCACTTTCGCTGGAAGTAGAGGGCACAGAAGGCCCTGGTGTTGTTGTGCTGCCATTCGAGGTATTCGTCAACGCGGGCTTGGGCTTTGGTCTCTTTGGGGTACCAGTTGTTGTCGATGTTGTGCACCTTAGAAACGTACCGAATAATGGCCACACTGAAACGAATTGTGGGAATTTGCTGAAAAAATCACTCTTTACCTTTCAGTGAGTCTGAAATCGGCATCGTGAATGAAAGGCACTTTTTGAAAACGGTTCAAATTCGTTTTAAACTCCTCGCTAAAGTGTTCACCTACGACATACTTATTAGTACTAATTTGTTACTCCAAATTTTTGCAAAATTACCTTTCTGCAATGCGACTTGAAACAACTCAAAAGGCACTTTATTAATCTTGAAAAAAATATACAAAGCCCGCGAGGGCTGCGACAAAAAATCCAAATACAATTTGAGAGTCATTGCAAACAACTCAAAGGTCGAAGTCCTCTCCTGACTTCAACACAAGAAAATAAAATACAGCAGGAGAATGTTGAGTCTCCCACTTTAGTTATTTATTTTTTAATTTTGTTAATTTCCCCCCCTCCCAGGTTGGTAATACCATAACCTAGAACAATCACAACAGAGTTGCCAAGTTTGGTGAAATTTCACCAGATCTGGTGATTTTCATGTTAGTCTAAAACTTTTTTGTAAAGATTCTAATATCTGGTGATTTTTTTAAAATCAAAAAGCTATTTTTCGTGCATCTTCCACGTTTTCAACCAGAAACTTGATTATTTCGAATACTTTTTCAGCTAGAAACACAATTATTTCACAAAACCTCGTTAAAGACAATCTAAAAACAACAACTAGACCAAAAACGGCGTTTTTTGGCCCTTTTGAACTGTTTACAGATTTGTCAACAAGAAATTACCACCTAGAATTTGTATTTTTAGGAAAATTACGTTTTTCATGTTGTTTGTAATGACTTAACCTAAATTTTTGACACTAGTTACGATATGAAACTTTTGTTTGTCACCACAAACCAACCTAACCCAATTAATGGCAACCTATTCACAAATATCCCTAAATTCTAGGGAGTAATTTCTTGTTGATACGGTAATAAGCACGTTTTTGACATAAAAACAAACAAAATTCTAAAAATTTCGTTAAAGCAGTCAAAAAAAATACAAAATTAAATTGAAATTGATATTATTTTTACTTGTTCCTCTAGATTTACTTCGTTTTTGAAACAGAGGCTCATTTATTTTGCAAAATCTTGTCCAAACGCGCTTAAAAATCACAAAAACAATCGATATCAATGTTATTTTGTTTATTTCACTTGATTTAACCGCTTTTTGAGCAAAATAAAACAAAAATAAGCTGAGAAACCACAAAATTTGGCTTTTAAGCGCTCTAAAAAATCCAGAAATTAAGTCTAGAATTACATTTCTCGAGCATTTTAACACGTTTTTCAGCTATAAACGCAATTATTTCGCAAAATTTTCTTGAAAACAAGCCATTTTTGCCTTTTTCAAGAGTTTGAGCGGATTTTTAAGTGCGTTTTTTTGCGAGATATAACCACACAAATCGTAATCTGGTGAAAATTTTGCGAATTTTTCAACTCGGATCTGGTGAATTTTATGTTTTTGATCTGACAACACTGAGCACAATGACACGTAATTCTCATCAAAAGATAACAAAAAGTTGACCAATTGAATCACAAGTTTCAATGCAAAACAAATTCAAGTGTTTTTTAATACTTTTTAGATAAGAAACAAGTAAATAGATAAGAGTCCCACAGATTAGATAACGCAAAATTGTGCTGATTAAATGTTAAACCACACGTGTTTGACAGTCATCTCGAACACGTGACCTAATAAGGCGCAATGATTGGCTGTCGTGTCAATCACGTGACAATTAATTTGAAAAAGGGCGCCAAATGTTTATTTCTCGTCGACTAAAACGCCGTTTTGGAATGTAGTTTTTATTTTAAATCGAACAATACAAAACTTAGGTTTTAAGTAGCAAAAAATAAATTAGTGGTACAAAAACTCGCTTAATTTTCTTTCAAACTGTTGATGTACCTTTCGAGCAAAACCTTCAAGCCGTTGGTGTTGTAAACCTTCAAAAAGGTGAGAAACGACACCGGAAGATTATTATTGCAAATCTGATAACCGGTGACGAACTTGTAGAAGAGGAAAAAATCGCGAGGAACGTATTTCTCGACTTGGGTCATTTCAAACACGTATTCCTCCACTGTGAGATTATCTTTGGGGCTAAAAACGGCCGTTTTGGGGAGTTGTATGATTTCTTGGTCGTTGGTAGCACTGTATGCACCATCGCTCGAAATACTATCAATGAACAATTTTTTCTGCGTCTCGTCGAAATACCGAATGAGAGTGTTATTGTTCTTGTAGTAGAAGAGTTTGCCGTGGGGGATTTGCCGTCGGGGATTCACCGACTCGCCACTGCTCACGCTAATCGTGTCGACGTCGTCCGACTCCCGCCGATCTGCAACGAGCACACTTTACTGTTTGTGTTGCTTAGCAACAAAGCCCAACTCTGTGATTTACCCGTGCTGACGATCACCGATTGTTGTTGCGGTTTCGGGTCAATTCGGACGCCCTTCGCCAAAAGGTCCTTAATTAGGAACAATTGCGGCATTTTTGGGTCACCTAAAAGGACAAAAATAAATAAAAGGCACTAGAAATTTTTTTGTGTACTTTTTTGGTCTTTTTTCTTGCTTTCGACGGTTAGATCAATGGCTGCGACCACTGGGGGCGACTCTAGTTTCCGCTTCCGGGGCACT